GCGCATACGGTTTTTTACGCGCATTTTTAGAATTTATGCGCATCTTGGCGTTTCCATCTAGCACTTTTTATGCGATAATCCAAAATGCGCATAAAAATAGGTGGATGGAAACGTAGCTAATTACATTCATTCTCAAGGTCTAACAAACAAACAAACAAACATGCGGAAAGCATTTCCCTCACCATTAATGGTAAATGAATATTGTGATAAATATCAATATTGTATGTTATGGAAAAAAAAGGTTATATTTTTGGCCATATCGCCCAGCCCTATTTCACATCTCTCTAGAATATTTGATTCTGATTGGTCAGTCGTGGCATATAATAACCCCTAAACCCTACGAACAATCAAACAAACATAAATACGAACAAACAACATCTAGATAGTGCAGTTCCAAAATTTACCAGCAGGGGCAAACAGGGCTAACTTGCCAAAAGACGATATTTTCACAACTCTGACTCTGTTTTTGCCTTACTTGGAGAGTTTGATTAATGAATAAATAGAAAGAAAGAATGCAGAAGCAGACATGAAAAGAGGAACAATAGCACAGAAATATGCAGTTGAGTGGTTGAAAAAGGAAACAATAAAGAGCTAAAGAAAGAAACGGTGACAAAGAGATAAAAAAAAGAAACAGACAGGATATATCAAGACACAAGGAAATGTCGTTCACTGAGACACATGCTGTTACCTGGTTACAGTCACTATATGTGTGTGGGTGTGATGTGCTTGTAAAGACCCCCGATGAGCATGCAGAGCTGGAGACTGAACGAATCACTTTCCTCTCTGTTGACTCAGATCATGAAGAACATCTTCCACCAGTCGTTCAACGCGTATAAGACAGACATCGAGCCGCGTCTGAGTGAACTCACGCTGCACCACATGCAGTGCAGCCGCAAGCTGTTCGAGATCATGCTGTCCTACAGACGCGTCAGCGCCGCTTACATCGAAGGAGACAACGTCGCCGTGACTGTGGAAGGAGAAGCTGCGCGAGTGCTCAACTTCGACACTGGTGAGCACAGCCACGCTTCAACATCGTCTGGATGCTTCTAGGCCAAATACAGAGTTTCTCTTCTTTCACGGTTTTCCATTCCATTGCATTGCGTTTTCTATGTAAACATGCACTAGATGGACATGTTTGACTGTTGCGTTCACGGCTTGTGTCTGTTGCAGCATCTCACGCATGACGCACCGTTCTAAAAACACGGCGTTTAGGTTGAAAGAAGTTCAACTTTAAAAAAAAATAATAATTTCTTTTTCTTTCCTCCTCTTCTACTGCCCTGTGCCTCACATTTTTAACCTTCTGTCAGAATGTCCCCTTATACTTGTGGTTATGGATATTCATATTTAAAACTATTCATATATTTACTGCTACAAATTTAGATGAAATAAAACTATATATTTAGGGTGTTAAATAATATTTATATTAATATATATAGAGTTATAAAACCAAAAATTTGTAATGCAAAATAAATAAAGCCAAATTCCACGTATAAAAATGAACTGTACCTAAATTTTGCCTTTGTTAAAATTCAAATGTATTTTTTTTTTCTAAAATAATTTAATTGCAAATTTTTTTATTTCCCTCTGCACTTTCTGTTCAACCCTGTTATGCTGACATTTCCCTCTTAAAAACATATATTTATAATAATATTTTTTTTATATAATAATAGTAATACATTTTATTTAGTAAAATTTAATTTACAGTCTTTATTAGTATTTTATTTTTGGCTTTCACAAGTTTAATAGTTCCACTCTGTTTTGGGGAAAAAAAGAAAAGAAAAACTTAAACTTTTTGTATTATTATGTAATATTGTTTTTGGCACAAAGCACCAGAATGTTGACTAATATTTTATAAAAATGCAATAATAATAATAATACATTTTATGTAGTAATTTGAGTTTAATTTTTAGTCTTTTATCAATATTTTATTTTTATCTGTATGTTACTTTTTATAAGTATGTAGTATGTATGTTCTTGACACAAAAGCACAGGAATATTGATTATAATGTGTTTATGTGATTTATTACAAGGCACACTGAAACTGGGTGATACTGTGAAAGAGTACTGTGAGTAAAATAGAATAAAATAAATACAATAAAACAAAACAATAATAATAAATTGAATGAGAATGACCTGTATATACTTTATTCTGTAGCACTGTATGGCTGCTAACAACATTTTCCATGAAGCCAAAAATATTTGAATCAGAATCATTACAAGTAACATTCCCTTTCAGATCATAACCAATTGTATTGCACACTATTTGTCTGTAATCTCTGATATGGTTCTGTGGAAGGTTGTGGTGTAAATCTGGGCATGAGAGGACTGGAGTCTCTGGGAATGTTCATCTACAGAACGGCCACGGCGCTGGACCAGAACGACGTGTTTGAGGCGCTCTCGGCCAAAATCCAGCACTCCAGACACGTGGCAGAGACTTTCAGGAAGAGCGGACTGGCCTCTGCAGTGTTTGAATGACCCTGAGCGTATGTGTGTGTGTGTTTTGAGGGGAGTTATAAACTTACTACTAGAGCCCGACCGATATGGGTTTTTGGGGCTGATACCGATATTAGGGAGTAAAAAAAGGCCGATATTGATATATCGGCCGATATTCTTTGTGTATTATAGTACAGTACCTGTCAAAAGTTTGGACACTTTACCATTCGTGTGTCCAAACATTTGACTGGTACTATATATAGAATACAGTATATACATAAACAGAATATATATAAATAAACACATTTTTTGCAATGATCACTCAAATTTGGTGATCAAACACTTATAATGACGTGACAGAGATACGTAATGGAGGCAGGGCATTTAACAATTTAACAATAAACTTTATTATCCAAAATGAGTCTGACATCAGTGCACTGAGAATGACGTGTTTGAGGCGCTCTCGGCCAAAATCCAGCACTCCAGACACGTGGCAGAGACTTTCAGGAAGAGCGGACTGGCCTCTGCAGTGTTTGAATGACCCTGAGCGTATGTGTGTGTGTGTTTTGAGGGGAGTTATAAACTTACTACTAGAGCCCGACCGATATGGGTTTTTGGGGCTGATACCGATATTAGGGAGTAAAAAAAGGCCGATATTGATATATCGGTCGGACTCTACTTACAACACGTGCAAAGCTTACAAATTGATCTATTTTGTGATCGTTTTTGGAATGTTGAATATTCAATGCACATTAGAGTGACCAAAGTTTGTGTATTAGCATTTCATTTGTGAAAAAAAATGTGGTAATTATTGGTGTAATGTGATGATAAATAGTGCATTGTGTTTTTGAGTAGATCTTGACAAAAACAAGAACCGGAGACTGATCCAGCCTAAAATGACCACAAATCTTACTGAAGATACAGTGACCATAAAAAAAAAATACGTGGAGTCTTATAAAAATATAAAAGCCACTGCATTAGATAATAAAATATCAAAGCAAGTGTCCTAATTAGTGCAGTGTTAGTCACCAACAGACTCTACTGCTACAGGACAAACAAGTCAGACTATGATGTTGACTATTCACTATGAAATGAATACTAGCAAAAATGAATAGGTCCCAGCAGTAGTTTAGTGTGAATCACTAACAGACAGCATCATCAGATCTGTAGAAATTAAGTGCCTGGCAGAAATCACATTCAATTCATGTTACATACAGAAATAAAGATGTCTATTTATTTTGTGATATTTGTTAATAAAATGAAGTGTTTGCCTTCTATTGTCTTCTCATTCTGTGCATTCTTGCTTATTCAAGTATATACTTGTGATCTAAAGCTAGGGCTGGGCGATATAGGTAAAAAAATTATCAACGATATAATGTTTCATATCGTTCGGTATCGATAATTATTGAAATTTTTTATAACCTTTTTTAAAAAGAGCAATAGAAAAAAATGTTTAAATTTAACCACTGTATTTTTTAATTAACCCAATTTATTGAGACAAACAACAAATATTTTTT